TGCAGCCCCACTATGCCTGACTCAGGCACACTTTCCTAACAACTCAGGGTATCCTGTGTGTCCTGTTCCTCCTCTGCTATAAGTCCCTCACCCTCCAACCTGGTTTTAAATATGTATTGCAGCATGCATGTGTCTGCATCTTTTTGTAGGAGAGCGGTAGAGAGAAGATCCACAGCCTGGGTGCCTTTTGGTAAATTCATGCCTCATCCATGATACCACAGATCATGTTATATTGCTTGCACACCATGTGTCATCAGGCACTGACAAAAGACAAGAGGGTCAGGGGCCCTGGAGCTTCCAAAATAGATGGAAGAAAAAGAGAGTTAGAAGAGTGCATATAGAACAAAATATTTGTGTGGGACAGGAAGTGTTTGGACAAAACGGGGGCTCATATTTTAAGCCTCTCCACGAGCTTTGAGAAAAAAGAGGTATTTTCTTCAGTTACTCACAGTCATCTATTAATTATGGTTTCTGATTAATTGTGCTCACATCCTATTTGGCCCAGGGTCCCATTGCATTTATCAGGTCAGGATGAGTTCCCAGTGTTTTTACACTTATCCCCCCAAGTAACAGGTGTGTACTGCTCATCTAGAGTCACAGAAGATGCACAGCAGAGTAGAAATGGAACTCAGAGATGACTTCAACAAAGTCCTTCATTTTACAAATGAGGAAACTGAGACACACAATGTATTGTGGCCAGTGTCCATTTGAGTCTCCTACTTGGGTGATCTGATTGGGGAAAAACGGAAGTCCTGGATGTTTGAGAAGTTCAAGTTCAAAGCCTGATTTGATTGGTTTTATTCTCAGAATACCACTTGGCCTGTTTTCTAGAGATGCAAATTTCTGGTGGGTTACAAAAAAAAAAAAAAAAAAAAAATGCACATAGGTGGGGCTCTCACCTCCATTATTTCTTTTACTAGGAAAGGATCAAAGCCTCCTCCTACACATTAAAAACCCAACCATGTCGTCCAGACATACCCTTTTCTTGGCTCCCCAGCTAGCTTAGCAGCTGCAAACATTCCTCCTATCCTTTTCTGTTTCCCTTTCTCACAGCATCAATTTAATTGGCTTTTCTCTGAATCCCAAGCGACAGGAAGAAAGAGCCCTGTGACTTCATGGCCCATTTTCTTTTAAGCTATTTAAATTACTTAGATCTAACTACTTGCTATGGTTTTGATGTTTGTCTTCTCCAAAACGTATTTTGAAACTTGGTCCCCAATGCTGCAGTGTTGGAATGTGGGGCCTAATGAAAGGAGACTGGGTTATGAGGGCATGGGCCTCATGAATGGGTGGATGTCATTGTTATAGGAGTGGGTTCAGTGTTGTGAGAGTGGGCTGATATAAAAGTGAGCCTGGCACCTCCTGCTTTCTGTCTTTTGCATGCACCTGCTTGTCCTTCTGCTGTTCTGCCATGTGATGACACAGTATGGAAGCCCTCACTAGATGCTGCCACAATGCCCTTGGACATCCCACCCTACAGAAATGTGAGACAAATAAACTCCTTCTCTTTATAAATATCCAGTCTCAGGTATTCTGTTACAGCAATAGAAAACAGACTAAGATACCACCTTAGGAAAAATGATCTTTTTATAAGGCTTAGCCCAGGTTCCCAGGGAGTTCATTTGTTTGCATTGGTATTGGGGTCAAAACTTCATGTACTATCAGTGTTACCTGGCCTTCTACTTTATAATCCTTATCTTCCTTCAGCAGCCACACCTAAAAAGAGTGAGCAGGATTTTGGCATTTCTGTTTCCCTGATATAAAATACCAAGGTTGGCCGGGTACAGTGACTCACACCTGTATTCCCAGCACTTTGGGAAGCTGAGGTGGGTGGACATGAGTCAGGAGTTCTAGACCAACCTGGCCAATATGGCAAAACCCTGTCCGTACTAAAAATACAAAAATTAGCGAGTCACGGTGGCATGCACTTGTAATCACAGCTACTAGGGAAGCTGAGGCAGGTAAATCACTTGAACCCAGGAAGCAGAGGTTGCAGAGAGCCAAGATCACATCATTGCACTCCAGCCTGGGCAACGGAGCAAGACTCCATCTCAAACAACAACAACCACAACAACAACAAAACAGGGCCCAGGGAGTTTAGGCTGGTAATACTAGCCACAAAAAGCTTACAATCTTAGTTGCAAGAGAAGATCACACCCACCATCCTTAAAGCCAGTGTGAAACAACATACGAATAAGTGCCTGATGGAGGATTAAAGGCAAGAAGGTATTGTTAAGGATGAAAAATATTTCCACATTTGTTCCTGAAACCTGTTTCCCAGGTTGGTTAATTGTGGTCACATCCCACTTGACCCTGGGTGTGTGCTTATGTAAACCACAGAAACTGTTTCAATGACACTTGCTTTCCCTGTCTCTAAATGAGGAATAAAACCTGCCCTGCTGACTTATCAGAGGATCAGTTTGAGACAGAAACAAGATAAAGCATGAACAGTACTACCAAATTGGGGAGACTTCATAGCTCACTTCCGTGACTGCTCCTAGGGTCCACTTTTAACTCTTATCAACTGTTTTGCACCACTTTGACCTGAGCTTCTCAACAGTCAGAAGCAAATACATATCTCACAGAGGAAGCAGGAAGGAGGCACACTACAGATAGAAGTTTCATGAAGTGCCTCATGGTTTACAAACCATTTAAAGCTCACCATTTCTTTTGATTCTTACAAGAACTTTCTTTATGGAGGGAATCATTATCCTCTTTTCGTCTCCTAGATAAAAAGGTAAATTATTTAGCATGTAAATGATTTTCCCAAGGCTAATTTGGAGGAGACAGTAGAGCTGGGATTTGGATCTAGTTTTTTCTGAGTCAAATTCCTCTGATCATTCCTCAAAGTCACTTTCATTTTGTTCCATCACATCTGAGCAGGCATCAGTGGCTTCAAAACACATGCCATGTCTTCTTACTTTCCTTGCCCCTTCCTTCCTTCCTTCCTTCCTTCCTTCCTTCCTTCCTTCCTTTTCTTTCTTTCTTTCTTTCTTTCTTTCTTTCTTTCTTTCTTTCTTTCTTTCTTTCTTTCTTTCTTTCTTTTTCTTTCTTTCTCTTCTTTCTTTCTTTCTTTCTTTCTCTCTTTCTTTTCTTTCTTTCTTTCTTTTTCTTTCTTTCTTTTTTCCTTTCTTTTTCTTTCTCTCTTTTTCCTTCTTTCCTTCCATCCTTCCTTCCTCTTTCTTTCTTTCTCTCTTTCTCTTTCTTTCTTTCTTTCTTTCTTTCTTTCTTTCTTTCTTTCTTTCTTTCTCTTTCTTTCTTTCTTTCTTTCTTTCTTTTCTTTCTTTCTCTCTTTCTTTTTCTCCTTCTTTCTTTCTCTTTTCTTTCCCCTCCTTCCTTCCTTCCCTCCCTCCCTCCCTTCCTTCCTTCATTCCTTCCTTCTTTTCTCTCTCTCTCTGTTTGTTTGTTTCTTTCTTTCTTTCTTCTTTTTTATTATACTTTAAGTTCTAGGGTACATGTACAAAACGTGCAGGTTTGTTATATATATATACATGTGCCATGTTGGTGTGCTGCACCCATTAACTCATCATTTACATTAGGTATATCTCCTAATGCTATCCCTCCCCACTCCCCCCACCCCACGACAGGCCCCAGTGTGTGATGTTCCCCTTACTGTGTCCAAGTGTTTTCATTGTTCAATTCCCACCTATGAGTGATAACATGCAGTGTTTGGTTTTCTGTTCTTGCGATAGTTTGCTGAGAATGATGGTTTCCAGCTGCATCCATGTTCCTACAAAGAACATGAACTCATCCTTTTTTATGGCTGCATAGTATTCCATGGTGTATATGTGTCACATTTTTTTAAATCCAGTCTGTCATTGATGGACATTTGGGTTGGTTCCAAGTCTTTGCTATTGTGAATAGTGCCGCAATAAACATACGTGTTCATGTGTCTTTATAGCAGCATGATTTATAATCCTTTGGGTATATACCCAGTAATTGGATGGCTAGGTCAAATGGTATTTCTAGTTCTAGATCCTTGAGGAATCACCACACTGTCTTCCACAATGGTTGAACTAGTTTACAGTCCCACCAACAGTGTAAAAGTGTTCCTATTTCTCCACATCCTCTCCAGCACCTGTTGTTTCCTGACTTTTTAATCTGCTCAGTGAAATAAAAGAGGACACAAACAAATGGAAGAACATTCCATGCTCATGGAGAGGAAGAATCAATATCGTGAAAATGGTCATATTGCCCAAGGTAATTTATAGGTTCAATGCCATCCCCATTAAGCTACCAATGACTTTCTTCACAGAATTGGAAAAAACTGCTTTAAAGTTCATATGGAATCAAAAAAGAGCCCGCATTGCCAAGACAATCCTAAGTCAAAGGAACAAAGTTGGAGGCATCACACTACCTGACTTCAAACTATACTACAAGGCTACAGTAACCAAAACAGCATGGTACTGTACCAAAACGGATATATAGACCAATGGAACAGAACAGAGCCCTCAGAAATAATACCACACATCTACAATCATCTGATCTTTGACAAACCTGACAAAAACAAGAAATGGGGAAAGCATTCCCTATTTAATAAATGGTGCTGGGAAAACTGGCTAGCCATATGTAGAAAGCTGAAACTGGATCCCTTCCTTACACCTTATACAAAAATTAATTCAAGATAGATTAGAGACTTAAATGTTAGACCGAAAACTATAAAAACCCTAGAAGAAAACCTAGGCAATACCATTCAGAACATTGGCATGGGCAAGGACTTCGTGTCTAAAACACCAAAAGCAATGGCAACAAAAGCGAAAATTGACAATGGGATCTAATTAAACTAAAGAGCTTCTGCACAGCAAAAGAAACTAGCATCAGAGTGAACAGGCAACCTACAGAATGGGAGAAAATTTTTGCAATCTACTCATCTGACAAAGGGCTAATATCCAGAACCTACAAAGAGGTCAAACAAATTTACAAGAAAAAAACAAACGACCCCATCAAAAAGTGGGCAAAGGACATGAACAGACACTTCTCAAAAGAAGACATTTATGCAGCCAGCAGACACGTGAAAAAATGCTCATTATCACTTGCCATCAGAGAAATGCAAGTCAAAACCACAATGAGATACCATCTCACACCAGTTAGAATGGCAATCATTAAAAAGCCCCTTTCTTTCTTAGCAAAATCAGACCCGAGGAACAGCGCAGAGGTGGTGACTGACTGGGGAAATAGTGATGCCCATTCTAAACTTCGGGCTCAGCTTCTCATTGTCTGGGGGCCTGAAGGTAAATTTTTGTACAAGGGAAGTGAAGAAAATAAACAGCTCAGTCCTGGCCAACTGTTCTCCGAGGCATGCCCGCTTTCCTGTAAGACAAAATCAAAAGATGGGTTATCTTCTCAGGTGGCATTTGTGCCTAGCAGAGATAGATGTCCTCAATCATATCCCAAAAACCTGGAGCAGAGGAAGGGCCTGTAGGCCCCAGGGTGTTATGGCCAGCAGCTTATTTAAGTCTGACAACCACTTGGGTTTATCAATGCATAGAAAGCAGAAGTCCAGGAACACAAAGTCAAATGCTGTCAGGGGTCTGGCATGCGAGCTTCCAGGGTGAAGTTGCAGGGTGTAGGACCAAAGAATTGGAAGGCGTGGGCTGACCTAGAAAGGGGGTGTTTAGCCTAAGAGCTTTAAAAAAAGAGTTTAACAAACATGACAAAAAAAGACAACAAAAACAACCAAATATGTTAACTTTTTCAATCCCTAAAAAAATTATTGAAAATATAAGGAATTAAATGTCAGAGCAGAGTTCCTAAGGTATAAGTCATCTTTTCCCTGTGCCACTTTTCATCCTTAATCATGGGGGCCTACTGGCATGGGTGGCCCTCTATATTGTGACTGCTTTGGCCTTCGTCCTTCAGTGGTTCCTTTTATGCACAGAGGCCCTTTCCCTTTGCAGGCATTTCTTTTAAAGTGTGGCCCAAGGCTGGGTCTTGGTCTCCACAGCTGATACCTAACACTGTCCTGACCTCATCCCACTCCCTGTTATGTGTGGATGAACTGGAGGCAGAAGGACAAAGATTCAATTCAGCTTCTCCTACCTCTTAGCCACGTGATTGGGACAAATTAATCTCTCTAGGCATCAGTGAAAATGTACGTGTGCATATTAGTGAAAATGAATACGTGTTTAAGATGAGAACTTTATATACTGTGTGAGCTACTTGCTGAATCCAAATAGGGCAAATAATTTAATAATTTATACCTGAAAACAAAGTATTTTAACATGTCACCTAGGTAATAATAAATATAGCTGCACAATTGCTTATTATTAACTGGATCTGGTTAATTCTCAAAAAACAGAAGACTACAATTTAAAAGATGACCTTTAAAGAAAACCTTTTGGGTGGTAGCATTACTCAAACAGTTTTCTGTATATTACAATTCTTTACTGTGATACTTTCCATAATTTACCTTTTATTCTGAAATAATTTCAAATGTACAAAAAACTTGGAGAGATAAGACAAAGTACCTGGCTCTCCTGAACTGTTTGGGAGTACATCGTCTACATTACCCATGAAATCTTCAGTATGTATTTTCTAAAAAGAAGGACATTCTCCAACATAATCAAAATGCAACCATCCAAGCCAGGAAATTAACACTGATGAATGACCAACGTCTTCTCCTGAGGTCCCATTCAGGGTTACCAGCTGTCCCAATGTCCTTCATTAGAAAAGGGTCCAGTACAGCCAGTACAGGATCACGGTCTGCATTTAGCTGTCATGTCACCTTAGTTCTTCAGTCTGGAATAAGTCCTCACTCTTTATACAACTTTCATGGCACTGGCCTTTTTAAAGATTACAGACCAGTAGTTGTTTTGTAAATGCCTCTCATGCTGTCTCATGGATTCAGGCTGTGAAGTTTTGCAGTTTTGGTAGGAATATCACCAAAGTGATACTGTGTTCTTCTCATTTTATCCTTGCAAGTGCTGTACAATTTTGATGTGTGACATTATTGGTAATCACGTGATTAAGGTGGTGTCTGCCAAGTTCTCTTGTAAAATTATTCTTTTTCTCTGTAACTAATAAGTACTTTGAGACTATGTCAACAAATCATTCTCATTAAACTGTGATCCACTCTTTTCCATTGCTATTTCTTGACCATATTATTAATTGCTGATAGCTACCAAATTGCATTTTTTAAAATTCTGTCATTTCTTCCACATTTATTAGTTAGCACTCTACTAAAGGAAATGCTTGCTCCCCTCCCCATTTATTTATTCACTTATTTATTGATCTCAGTTGGATTCATGGGATTCCTGTTTTTATTCAAAAGTTATAATCTGTTACTATCATTACTTGTTCTGATGCTCAAAATATTCCAGATTTGATCATTAGACGCCCATTCAAGCTGTCATTTCCTGACTTTTGGCACAACAGTCTATTCCGGGTTGATCTTATACTTTCCCTACCCCAGCCCTGGAATCAGCCATTTTTTCCAAAAGTCCTGGTTTCTTTTAGTGGATAATAATATGTAGAAATCAAGATCTGGGCATTAGGCATGCTCACTGCTCTCCAGACGTTGTTACCCCTCGCTCATGTCAGTGGCCAGAGCTAGGGAATATATGTATGTGTATAATGTGGGTGTATGTCCAAAACTGTGTGTGTATACATTATATATATATACACACACACACACACCCATATTTACATCTACATTTCTATATTTATTAACTCATCTATTGAAAATCTGAGTTCATTATAGATTACCTCAGATTCCAATCCAACACCACAAAGTTTGATTTTCTCCCTTTCTTTATTTGCAACTTCCTCTCATTATTCTCAATGTATTTATTTATTGGATCAGTATCCCTTGTATATAACTTACCCCTCATCACTGCCACAGCCACCCTGTGCAGATTCCACTTCATACCATTTGTGCTCTGAGACCAGCTCTCAGCTTCCACCTCCCCCTCCCCTGTGTGAATGTCCTCCTCGCCCCACTTGGGCTACATCACCCCACACAAGTCACTACTGCCATCTCTATTGTGTGCATTTTTAATAGCTTACTTTCTCCCTAAGTAATACATATTCACAGCAATAATTTTAGAAAGCATGACAAAGAAAAGTATAAAGTATAAAAAATGTTTGTAATCCCATAATCTAGACAAAACCATTGTCAACATTTTAACATATTTCCTCATTGTCCTTGTGGAGATTCTTTGTACATCATAACAAATATGATTCCCTGTAGTCAATTCTATGTGCTGCTTTTACTGCTTTGTATTTTCCCATGTAATTTAATATTCTTGGAAATGTATGCATGCCTAAGTTTTGTCCTCTGTCTGTAACAGGTTGTTAAGGAAGTAAAGTTAGATCACATATACAAAAGTATTTAGTAAAGGCAAAGGTGCTTCATGGTTATGTCATTATTATATTATTTGTGCCTGTGTTTCCCACCAGTGTGTGTCTAATTCATCTCTGTTCCGCTCATCTTTATCTCTTTATCCATCACAAATAGTACAATTAGCAACAGGTTAAAATGATACCAAATCAGTTTATTGTAAATATACCCAAGATTCTCCTAAAAGAATCCATATATCATGGCAAACTGGACCTAGCAAGTCAGGAACCAGGATTAAAGAACTGGCTTCATCAGTAACCAACTGTGTGACTATTAGTAAACCATTCATTCTCACAAAGCTAAACTTATCTCATTTGTCAAATGCATGAAATAAATTCTCTCCTAACTATGTTGCATGTCTAGGCAAGGATCCCAATGTAATGGCAAGTATGAATTTGCTTTTAAAAGCATGAAAACTAGGACTGTTAGGTGTCAAACTTATGCCTGGAAGAAAGGAAACTCGGCTCCCATCCCTGGTGCTTCCACAAACTATCAGTAACCAAACAGGCCAGTTACCTCAGTAGTAAAATGAAATAATTGACCTACATTTTTGGCAAATTTCTTTCCAGTCCTATCTCCTAGAATCTAAAGATTTTAACTGGAAAGAGAGGAACTGGGTTCATGTATTTCATGAAGTTGCCTCCTGCTTTGATGGATCAAACAGGAAGCATTTAAATGAGGAAAAGTAAATATAAATTTGCGGTAAAACTTTGAAACCTGTCCTGATTATGCACACTTTAGAAGCTGTTACATCTTGTAAAGTGAGGACTTTGGAAGAGTCCTCTAGAAGACTCTTTACCAAGAGTAAAGGAACAGCAAGGAAAAGCAACTGCGTGCCAAGAGTGGGCATGTGATTAAAAAGACAGTTGTGTTGATGTTTTGTTAACCCTTTGGATTCTTCAGATTTCTATCTCCTGATCCATTTAACTGGTCCTCATCCTATCACATCTTCTGTGGGACATCCCAGATACATTGTTTGCCTTCTATGAATTTCATTCTTCTCAGAAAAAGAGATGGTAAGAACAAAGCAGCCTCAATTTCCCCCTCTTCTTGGATCCACATCATTTGTAATGTGATGTCATAGCTCTTCCCATTAAAAATTGTAGTAATATCCCCTCCCCTTAAACTGGGGCTGGCCTTATGACTGGCATTGGCCAACATAATGCAATGGAAGTGATGGTGTGTCAGTTCCCAGTCCGGACCTTAAGAGGCCTGTGTACTTCCATTCTTCCTCTTTTGACCTTATCACCACCATGTGACTAAGCCAGGGCAGCTTGCTGGAGGACGAGGGATAATGTGAGAAGGGCCTCACTGTCCCAACTGAAGATATACTAGATCAGCCATCAGCCTGCTGACCTCTAGTCAAGATCAGAGAGACCAAGGGGGCCGAGCCAAGATTGGCAGAGCCACATATCTGACTTACAGACTTGTGAGCAATAATTCATGCTTACTGTTTTAAGCTGCAGAGTTTTGGACTGTTTGTTATGTAGCAATATGCTAACTGATGCATGTGTTATGAAATTAGTGAATCTTAAAGTAGAGAGGACTTTAAGTAAGCTACATTCTAGTCTTACTAGAGAGAACACTAGACTAGAAGTATAAAAACTTGAGTTTTAGGTCCTGTTCTGCAAATTCCTTGAGCATATGATCTTGGATAAGAAACAACTCTCTCTTATTTTTAGTTATCTTAAATTAAAAAGAGATCCCAATTCATTTCCTGCCTATTAATAACTGGGCTGTTGTAAGGATGTTAATTAGACAATTTTCTTGCAAATGAAGTCTCTAAGAGGGTGCAATACAACTCTCAATAGCAAAGCAGCAGTGAGTCACTGTGTATAGTTTTTAAAAAGACTACTGCTAATTCAGATAAGATAATTTTTTAAAAACAGGAGACATGAAGCAACTCTGAGAAAGAGGCTTCTGTGATATGAAGAAAAGGTATCCAGGCATCGCTTAGCCCAGAGTATCCTTTTTCCTTTTAAAGCCATGGCCTTCTAATAAGATTCCTCTCATCACAGTTGCAGATGACATTAGGTGAAGCATTTTTGTGGAATGCAGAGAAGGTCACATTTCTAGCATGTCCACATGGATGTTGTGCAAGAGTCAAAGAACAGGAATAATTAATTATAATAATTGGAACATAATAGCTGAAATTTTGTGCTATAATACAAAATTTGAAACTATCTTGGACAGGAAGACTGGAAGATATGCCTACATCTTATATCAGCTTTCACATTCGAAGTGAATTGTCCAATGTGAGCGGAGGTGACAGAATCAGATGAAGAAAGACAAAGACAGCATTGATCATCAGAATCAGCCCAGAGACGTCTAAGGCAAGACAGCACAAGACAGCACAGTGGGAGAGCATGGGCTTCAGAGTCATACCAACATGGGTCATTCTGTTTCTGTCCTTTCTGAGCCTTAGGGTCATCCTCAGCAAAATGATGTTGTCTCAGAACATCAATACGTATTTTAAATTAACAATAAGAAAACTATCATGCATTCCACAGGGTAAGTCTGTGTAGCATTTAGTTATTTTCAGTAGAGAGTGTTAGGAAGAACACACATTTTAGTTTTTGATAAATCTGGTCGACACTGATCCTAGCTCTGCCACCTGAGTTTTATGACTTCAGTTTCTATACCGGGTTAAGCCTCAGCTTCCTTATCATTAAAGTGGTTGTAGTAATATAAACTTCATATGATTACACTAGAGCATATGCACCATGGGAGCAGTTTTGTTTTGTTTTGTTTTGTTTTCTGTTTCACTCATTCATTGTCATATCACCAGGGCTGAATGCTTGACACATAATAGATGCTCAATAAATACTGATGGAACTAAAGAATTGTGAAATTATTTGAAATAAACTATGCAACATATCTAACGCAAAACCTGGAACATACTAAGAATTTTTGTTATTGATTTTTCAATGTCATGAGTTAAAAATATATTTTTGGACATGGTTTTCTTCAAAACAGGAGAAAAAAGAGAGTTTTCACTGCCTCTTCTTTCTTAATTTTTAAGTTACATATTATATAAATGTAGTAATTAGATTTTAAAAAATGAATTAAAATTACAAAGGCCAAAGAACCTTTTCAAGGCCGTACTTAGAGAGTAGAATCCAATCTAGTGAAGCCACTGACGATGCCCATGTGGCAAATAAGTTTCTCCTTCTCCTTGTCCCGCTCTATCTTCTTATTATAGATCAGCTCTATTTCTCTGTGAGTGGGCTGTCCTTAAAAAGAACTGAGGACATTTTAAAATTTAGTAAAGATGGCAGCACTCCACTAGGTGCAGTGGCTCACGCCTGTAATCCCAGCACTTTGGGAGGCCGAGGTGGGTGGATCACCTGAGGTCAGGACTTCGAGCCCAGCCTGGCCAACATAGTGAAACCTTGTCTCTACTAAAAATACAAAAAATTAGCCTGGCATGGTGGCACATGCCTGTAATCCCAGCTACTTGGGAGGCTGAGGCAGGAGAATCACTTGAACCTGAGAGACAGAGTTGTAGTGAGCTGAGATCACGCCATCGCATTCCAGCCTTGAGCAACAAGAGTGAAACTACGTCTCAAAGAAACAAAAAACAAAAAGCAAACAAACAAAAAGCAGCACCCAATCCTCTTTGTGAGCTGGAAGTGGAGTCTGGGTCTCTGTCCCCAGTGTTCCAGAGGACAGAACACGGGAAAGCTGAAATCTCCAGCAGAGGCAACAGAGGGCTTAGGAAGTAAGGGCAGGCTGAAGCAACGCCCAGCCCTGGAAATCCCAGGGCTGCCCCCTACAGCAAGATGGAGTGAGTTGCACTGGCCAGGCTGTCTGGAGATGTTCCAATGAAAGCAAGGGAATACAGGGAGAGAGCAGGGGAGCGCTGGGAGAGGGGCCCTGGACTCCCATATGCCTGTTTATTACAACTTACCTATTGAGAAGGGTAGAAAGGCTTCCCTTTTCTTAAACTGTCCATTCTCCAGAAAATGCTCTGGATTGAACGTGTCAGGGGTGGCCCACTCTGTGGGGTCCCTGAGCAGCGCCGTCAAATTGGTCAGGATCATGGTCCCCTAGAGAAAGCAGCAGAGACTCAGGCAAGGCTTGACCCATGAAAAAGCACACCAATGCAGAGGGTGGTCATCCTCGGGCTTCCATGCCGGAGGCTGAACATACTCTGAACTGCCCCACCCTCCCCAACTGCGGTACACGGTCTCCTGTGTCCCCCAACCCAGGACCCTCCTCTTTGTCTGGGACAGCCTACAAATTAGATTGGATTTCCCTGCTGGGAATTTTAACGGGGACGTTTGGCTACTCTTGAGTGCAGGATGAATCTTCCTTACAGGGACAGGTCAGTTTAGGTAGGTCTTGGAGGGAGGGGACATGAATACACTGATGAGAGAATAATCCAACAGTCAGTCTGCAGTGTACCAAAACCAACCCAGCTGCTCAGTGAAGCTATAACGATGGCAGCTCTACAAAGGTAAAAGACATCTCATTCATCTTGGCTTCGCCATTCTCTTTCCTCCAATGTCTAGTACACGGTACTCCACTCCCCACAGTAGGTTTAGTAATAGAATCAGGCAGACCCATGAAAGGAGCCCCTGTCCACCCAGGTATATATTAAGAAACACAGGAGTTCCCAGAGGGAGCTTTTCCTTTACTCTGCCTTTATCCAACCCATCAACGAGATTGGTCAATGTTACTTTCACCTCCATTCCATGTCCACCATGCCCACTTAGTCCAGACTTCTTCCCGGCTTGCCTGGACCCCTGTTACAGTTTCCTAACTATACCCCAAATCCTGTCGCCCCTTTCAATCTGCTTCACACTCTGGAAGAGAGTGAGCTTCCAGCATGATTTGGTCATGTCACTCCCCACCCCCACAGCCCCCACTGCTCATACCTAGGACTTGACACACTTCAGTAGTTACCCATTGCTCTCAGGGCAAAGACTCATCACCTGGTCCCAGTCTGGGCCACTCTCCCCCTCTGTCTGCACTCCCACTACAGGGCTCTTCTTTCAGTTTCTCAAACATGCCGTGTTCCTAGTTAGTTCAATACCCTTTTTAAACGCTACTTGCCTTGCCGGGAATGTTCTTCTTCCCCACTTTGTCATCAAGCTAACTCTTAATGATCCATTAATCCTCAGCTCAAACATCACTTCCTTTTGGAAGACTTCCCTGACCACTCCTGCTAGTCTGTGTTTTTAAAGACCACAGTGAGTTTCTTCCTTTAGGCAGTTATCATGTTTCTAAATATGTACTTGCACGATTAATTTTCTCAGGGTTGTTTTGCCAGACCTGAGCATTTCAGGTATGTAGCGTTTGTTGAATTCATTCAAATATTAACATATTAATATAATATTAATTCAAGGAATTTAAATCATTAATTTTCAATATTAGTATAACGATTTCTTTCTTTCTTTTTCTTTTTTTTTTTTTTTTGAGACGGAGTCTAGCTCTGTCGCCCAGGCTGGAGTGCAGTGGCACAATCTCAACTCACTCACTGCAAGCTCCATCTCCCCGGTTCAGGCCATTCTCTGCCTCAGCCTCCTGAGTAGCGGGGACTACAGGCATCACCATCACACCCAGCTAATTTTTTTGTATTTTTAGTAGAGATGGGGTTTCACTGTGTTAGCCAGGATAGTCTCGGTCTCCTATCTCGTGATCCGCCTGCCTCGGCCTCCCAAAGTGCTGAGATTACAGGCATGAGCCACTGTGCCCAGCCTTTTTTTTTTTTTTGAGACAGAATCTCACTCTGTCACCGAGGCTGGAGTACAGTGGCACTGTGTCGGCTCACTGCAACCTCCGTCTCCTGGGTTCTAGCAATTCTCCTGCCTCAGCCTCCCAAGTAGCTGGGATTACAAGCACCCACCACCATACCTGGCTAGATTTTATATTTTTAGTAGAGATGGGTTTCACCATGTTGACCAGGCTGGTCTTGCTCCTGACCTCAGGTGATTCACCCGCCTCAGCCTCCCAAAGTGCTGGGATTATAGGCGTGAGCCACCACGCCTAGCCAATAACTGCTATTTTAAGCACTTTCTGTACTGAGTACTAAGTTAAATGCCCTACATGCATGATCTCATTTTACCTCCACGTGGATCTTGTAAAGTAGGTTTAAATGCATTTTTTCAGATGAAGAAATTGAAGCTATGAGAGGTAAAATAATGGGCCCAGAGTCAGACAGTGGGAAGAGGCAGAGCCATGATTTGAACTAGGTCTATTTGATGTCAAAGTCATAGCTTGTAGACTGTGTAACACACGGTTATTTCAATTTGTCAGTTCCCAAGATGATTATTAAAGCTGACAAAAATCAGTGGCAGAAGTCTGTTGAGCTGAGCTGGTTTCCTTGAGTTAAATAAATTGCTAGAAAAATGCAAACAGCACCTGGGGAATTTAGACCTCAGCCTTTATCCACTAGATGGCCAATCAGTAAGGAAATAGTAAATGTAACAGCTGCTTTTCCTGGCTCTGCAGGGATAGTAACCAAGCAATGTCCAATGGGTAAGCTCTTCTGATTCTACTTCTTGAGATTTTCCCCAGGTATGACACACTCAGAGGTACTTAGACAAACTGGAATAGATCCACAGAGGCTGACCAAAGTGGTTAGAAAGCAAGGAAAGGAACTGAAAACATGCAATGTGGGGAGAGGGCACTAGAGGGCACATGATAGCTGTCTGCAGAGATCCTAAGCGTGGCGAGTGGAGTGACATCAGAATTCTGTTTGTTGCAGAAGCAGAAAATGAAATACTGCATGTTCTTACTTATAAGCGTAGCTAAACATTGGATAGACATGGACATAAAGATAGGAACAATAGACACTGGAGACTACTGGAGGAGAGAGGGGGGCAAGGGTTGAAAAACTACCAACTGGATACTATGCCAGTCACCTGGGTAATGGTTCAATCATACTCCAAACTTCAGCATCATGCAATGTACCCTTGTAACAAACCTACACATATACTGCCTGAATCTAATACAAAAGTTGAAAGAAAAAGAAAGAAAGAGTTCCACTTGTGAGTATAGGGAATCTAACCGAGAGCAAATGAAAAAATAGCAGGGAGATGCTTTTAAAGTGGAAGTAAAGCACCTCCTGTGAAGGGAGAATGGTGTCATACAAAAAAACAAAACAAATCTGCTTCCAGATCCCAACACTTCATAGTTGGGAGATCTCATGCAAACCTAATTTTTCTGAGCCTCTACTTCTCAATCCACAACATGGAAATAACAAGCTTCTTTTGAATAAACTTACTCTGAGAATTGAGTATGACATTTTGAAAGAGGCCACATTGTTCACAACACATAATCATTGCTTAATACATGTTCGCTCCTTTCTTTCCCTTTCCAGTAATGAATATTGCACATGCTTAGATTGGCTTCCTTATAAGATAATAAATTATACATCTGCTGGACGTGGTGGCTCACACCTGTAATCCCAGCACTTTGGGAGGCCGAGGCGGGTGGATCGTGAGGTCAAGAGATCGAGACCATCCTAACCAACCAACATGGTGAAACCCCATCTCTACGAAAAATACAAAAATTTGCTGGACATAGTGGTGCATGCCTGTAGTCCCAGCTACTTGGGAGACACAGAGCGAGACTCTGTGTCAAATTAATTAATTAATTAATTAATCAATTAATAATACATCACAGGACTATAAGAAAAAACTGGAAAAATGCCTGTGGGGATATTATGTTAAAAACACCAGCATTAATGTGGTGTTGTCCCAGGTGGTCTTAAACGTCCTTTCACATTTCAGCATTCTAGAACCCCAGGATCATGAAGCAGAATTTCCCAAAGTTTGGCAGATCCCTAGTCTGGTGAGATGTTCTACCAAAACAAAGAAAACTGTTCTGTGATAAAGTCTGACTTAGAACTGCTGCCTGTCGCGTGCCCGCAGACTCACAATGCACATTAACATGGTAAAAACACTGAGAAGCACCACAGGAAAGAAACGCCAGTCTTTATCTAAACATATTGAATGTAAGAATCCTTCCTGCTCCCCTCCCCACAATACCTATTTATATCTAGCTGACACCTGGAGAAAATCTAGTATCATATCAGGTATAAGATATCTTTCTCTTCCATTTAAATGACTCCTCAGGACAAGAATAAATGTCACTTCTCAAGTTCAGGTTTTCACCCCATCTAAAAGATGGGCTTGAAGATGTGGGGCTAAGCATGTTTAGTTACCTTGGGCAGGTGGTACCCAGCCAAAGTGGTATCAACTGTCGCTTCCCTGGGAACGTTCAGGGGGATGATGTTGCCCATTCTCTGCACCTCATGGATGACGGCATTGGTGTAGGGCATGGACTCCCGGGCGGCTGTGCTCGGCTGCTGCCCCTGGCCGATCACTCTGTCAATCTCAGCTTGTACTTTTTCTGGTAAAGAGGGAAGGGTTCTATTATTTTTAAAGCTTTTATGCTTTATTATAAAGAGGTATGAGTGGTCTCCAAGATCTCATCTGTTTTATTTAAATTACTGACCAGATTGCAAGAAATAAAATGGTTCTTAACTTTTTGAAAGGCTTATTCAGAAAACTACCAACTCTGTAAATCTCTTTGAGCCTGGTTAGGCTATGGGATGGAATGACCAGGATTAACATGGCCAAACTCCATCACATCAGACCCCAGCAGCCTTGGTGTCTGGTAGAGAACCACTTTCTGGTATACAAATGGCACTTTCTCACTGTGTCCTTACATAGTAGAAGGAGTGAGGCAGCTCTCTGGAGTCTCTTTCATAACAGTATTACTCCCATTCCTGAAGGCTAATCACCTCCCAAAGTCCCCACCTCCTAATATCATCACACTGGGAATGAGGTTTAAACATATACATTAGGGCTGGGGTGGGCCCAAATATTCAACCCTTAGCAGATCTACAGACTCTAATTTCTCAGGTAGACACGTAAGAGTGGAAAGTGGGCCCTGAGGTAAGACCCATCGGATTGCAAACTCTTGCTCTACAACATTGATGCTGTAAGTTATTTACAGTCGTTAAACCTCAGTTTCCTTATTTGATGAGGGAGGATAAACCTACCTTCATCTCAAGGATGTTTTGAGATTTACATGAACTGATATTTTGAGATTTGTGTGACCAGATAGGACTGCTACCAGTTTCTTTCACTGGTTGAGTGCTCACCTAGCCAGTGAGAGAAACTGTAGCAGTCTTATCTCTTTTCTCTTTTTCTAGAGTAATAGAGATTTTAGCTGGAGGCCTGACCGCCCAATAAAAAATATAATTTCCAGGTCCTATTGTAACTAAGTGTGACCATATTACCAAATTCTGGCTAATAGAATGTAAGCAGAAGTGATGTTTAATCCTTGGAACAAGTTCTTAAAGAAAGGATATGCGCTTCCTTCCCCCTTTCGCTTCCTACTGGAGGAAAGCCTATTGGTGAGCTGTCTTATAGAGTGCTAACAAGAGCATCATTCTAATCACAACAGAGCAACAAGTTGGAAGGAGTTGGGAACGCTAATGACTTTGCAAAGCCTAGTTTGGATTTTTTTTTTTTTTTTACCTGAAAGTGAAATAAATTATAATTTTTGAAAAACATTTTATTTGGGGGTAAAATACCCATAACATAAAATTTACTATGTTAGCATTTTTAAATGAACAGTTCAGTAGTATTCAATATATTCACACTGTTGGGCAATCACTCTCCAGAACTTTTTCATCTTGCAGAACTAAAGCTCTATATCTCCTCCCTCAGCCTCTGGCCACCACCATTCGACTTTGTGTCTCTAGGCATTTCACTATTCTTGATAACTCATGTAAGTGGAATCATACAGTGCTTGTGTGTTTGTTACTAGCCTTTTTAACTGAGCATGACCCTGGATGTGTATACCTAAATATACACATATAAAGCATACATTATGCAGATACAGATAAAAAAATAAAGTTCTGTAAACAAACTTACCTTAGTACATGGGAAGCACTCTGATCTTTTCTATTTTTATCTTAAGAAAAAAAGTTGGTCTTGATCCACTAAATTGATTTTATGACTCATTAATAAATGGTTACCCACAATTCAAAAAACTGTATTGTTAAGCATTCCCATCCCCCATATGTTCAAACTGTTCTGGAAGCTTGAGGAAGAAAAATGATGTGAACATCATTCTTGAGTGGACTATAGTCTGTGGGGAAGCTATAGAAATAATACATGATAAGCCTAGTAATAAAGGCACATTACATCATCTCTGGAGGGAGAAAATGTTAATAATTTCCTAGGGGAGTGCAGAAACATCTTAGAGAGGTAGTATTTGAACAGATTCTTTAAGAAGAGCTAAGAGTTTACTATGTAGGAAAACTGGGCAAGTAGAGGGAAAAGCATATATCATGACATAGAGCCATAAATACAGACTACAAAGAAAATGACATGTCACTTAGTGAGGCCACCATGGAGGGTAGGTGGGGCCAAGGCTAGACAGGCAGAAGGGGCATATCGGAGGGTGACATATACCAGACTAAGATGTTTGAACATTATTCAGGAGGAAATGGAAAGGCATCACTTAAAAGAAGGGAAAGACACAACTAGACTTTCACATCAGAAAGTAACTGTTTCCTGGAACTATCTCAATGTCGATTGACTTCATTGATTTCCCTCTTGCTTCTGAGCTTCCTGAGGACAGGGATTCTCTCTCACATTTGTATTACCTGGGCCCATCACAGTTCAGACAGAAAATGTGAAGAATGTGCAGTTTCCAAGACCTCATCACTCATGACTGTTCTGCCTCTTTTCATCCTACAATGAGATCTTCTGGCTCTGACTTCAGGCAGCACGTCCCAGGAGGCACTACTCTGTGCTGGTCCAGGCTCACTCACTGACATGCTCACCTTGGATTTCTGGGTAGAGGGCCATATAAAGCAGAGCCCATCGCAGAGTCGTAGAAGTTGTCTCGGTTCCGGCAAAGAAAAGGTCCAGAGTGCTGCAGATGAGGTTTTCCTCATGGAAACTTGAAGTAGAATTGCCTGTGTGCTAGAAAAGACAATGTTTAATGTTATTTATTGGTTTATTCAGAGGATTCCTGATTGCTGTAACACACAGGGGCTTCATCCTAGGAGGAAATTTGGAAGAAAAGGCCCCCAAAAGAAACAATTTTCCCTTTGGCCTCTTCAGAAGGCAGACTTTTATTACAGCAGTATCATTAGCACTGTCCTGCCCCAAGTGCTGGACACCTTGGGATGGATGAAAATCAAGACAATTGTTTTCTTTTGCTGTAATTTGGGGGAGGCTTTTAGTACAGTGAAAGGAGAATGGGATGTGAATAAGACAGATTTGGCTTCCAATATTAACCACTTCAATTAGCAGCTGTATGACCTAGGGCAAGTTGCTTAACCTCTCTGTTCTTCAGTTTCCCGTTTTATACACTGGAAATAGGAGTGCACACCCCTTAAGAGGGCGTTATGATTTATATGAATGCAAGGACGCATAGCAAATACTCGACAAATGTTTGTACTGATAACAGAAAAGACAAATGGAATTCCTCTTATGAGCAACAATTCTTGTATCTCCTCATTCATCTTTTCCTTTCCAATTTGAACCTCACTGATTCTAACAAGCATTCCTCACGATACTGTCATCTTTAACATCAGCTTCTGGAAACTTCAATTTATCCAATGTTGCTCTTGATGTTAATGGTCCCTTCCTTACCTGCACAACATATAGCGAGTCTCCTCCTCTGAGGAGAAAACAATACTTCTATAAATGTCATGTCAATAAGGTTAAATAAGAGGGAAAGAAATCCACCATTCTTTCCAATCCAGAAGGAGGATTGGATGTATAAAGATGACAGTATTGACACAGAGATACATGTTAACCAGAGGGGTAACTGTGTTAAAGGTCATGCATCCAATTTGGTTTCCTCTTTACTTCTGGCCTGTAATGTTGGAAAGTGAAAGGTACAAGACAGAAGGGAAGGCAAAAGCCCAACTCAGGCCTTAATAAAGTTGACCTTTAAACTCTGGCATCCAACTCAGCTTTACTTGTGTTCTCTATGGGGGCTGAGAAAAGGGTATAGGTTATTGGGTCCAGGCCCAACTAATGATAGAACAGAGCTTTGAGGATTACTGCTATGTTCCCCCTTTGTGTATACCTCCAAATAACAGCAGAGGGTAGGGGATGGGGGATGAAAGGGCAGTATTTGGGCATTCACAGGACCTCAAACCAAATGCCATTAACTCCCATCTTTATCTCTAATTGCATCATCAATTCTGAGTTAATGTTACCCTACATTTTCTGAAATATTGCCCTTATTTTTACTCCTGTAGCAGGCTGAATAATGACCCACAAAGATGCCCATCCACATCCTAATGTCTGGAATCTAGGGATGTTACTTTATAGGGAAAAAGGAACTTTGCAGATTTGGTTAAGGATTTTGAGATGAGCAGATTATCCTGGAACATCCCAGTGGGCCCAGTGTTATCATAATAGTCTTTATTAGAGGGAAATAAGAGGGTCAAAGTCAGAGAAAGGATGTCAGGATGGAAGCAGATACCAGAGAGAAGAGAAGATGCTGTGCTTCTGGCTTTGAAGATGAAGGAGGTGGCCACAAGCCAAGGGATATAGGCAGCTCCTAGAAGTTGGAAAAGTAATACAAACAGATTCTCCTCTAGCACCTCCAAAGAGAGCCAGCCTAGCCAAAACCTTACCTGTAACACAGTGAATCTGATTTCATACTTCTGACACCTAGAACTGTGAGAGAATGAATCTGTGCTATTTTAGGCACCAAGTTTGTGATCATTTGTTACAGCAGCAGTTGGAAACTAATACACCCCTATTTGTGCTGTAAGAAAAAAATACAAAATGACTTTGGTTTTCTCACCTTTGACATTTCTTTGAGGTAAGCATCAATAAAGTCTCTTGTTTCTGCAGGATTCCAATCCTTCCTGTGTTTTTCAATTATATGAGAAATAAACAATTTCAGTTTTTCCCAGTTGCTGAAAAGAGTTTGGTGGGGTCCAGGCAGGAATTTCATTAGCCATGGAAAGACATTGTAGAGCTAATTGAGAAAAACAAAACAATCATGCAGATAACATGGTGCCTTTTTTTCACTTTTTAAGACAACAGAAACCATTTTCTCTTTCTATTGCTTTTGTTTGCTCACACTTAAACCTTGGTTATCCTTGACCCCTCTTTTCTCTCTCACCCCTCTAGTGAAACAGTTCAGCTGTCAAAAATATATCCGGCCTCAGACCACTTGTCACGACTCCAACAGCTTGCCACCAAAAAAAATACTTATGAGACATCTGGGGACATCTGAGCACTGGCTGAGTGTTTGAAGGCATTAAATAACTATTGTTCATATTTTTCAGGCACGATGGTATTTTATTTTTGCTAAAATGGATCTTTTTAGAAATATATGCCGAAATATTTATGTATCAAATAATAATATGTATCAAATTGGTCTATAATTTGCTCCAAAATAATTCAGGGACAGTGGGAATGTGGTAGTAGGGCACAGATGCAGACACAGTGAGAATGGCCATGTGCTGATAATTGTTAGAGCTCATTGAGGAGTACACAGTGATTCACGATTGTATTCTTTTATGTACATTTGTAATTTTCAAAAATAGAGTCATTTTTTAAACAGAGGAAATTTTTAAAAATTTTGATAATGGCACACTGCATAATTCAAGGGCACTCTTTCTATTGAAAACACAAGAAAAGATACATGTGTATGCATTTAAGCACACATATATACAAACCAAGATAGTGAGGAAGTTTCCAGGATAAGGCTTAGGGGAAGAAGAAAGCCCAGGGTATGAACTCAATACTTGGGGTCAACTTCTCCCCCTGCTCCCCAGCTCCCAGAAATGTCTTCCAAATTCAGAAAAGTGACTGAGGAGCCAAGAAACTGAGCAGAGTTTTTGACAAAGACTCAAAGGCTTAGATGGACAAAAATTGTGGTGCAGGGCCTACCAAGGGAGGAATGAGTTTGAACCCCAAACAGCTACATTCTATGTATTAGAAGAGTGACGATATTAAGTACTGATGGGCAGACAAATAATGCAATGAGCTTAGTAATCTTTAAACATCTTTTATCTCCAGATACATATATAAGAAATGAGTGGATGTAACCACAAGAACACTTGTACAAGAATGTTCATGGCAAGTTTATTCATAACATCCAAAACTTGGAAACAACTTAAATGTCCGTCAGTACAAAACAGATTGACAAAAAGTGGCACATTCATACAATGAAATACTAACCTGCATTAAAAAAGAGTAACCACCACAGATGAATCTCAAAGCAACTTGCTGAGGAAGAAAGCGAATACAGAAGAGAACCTCTGAGGGAGGAGGGAAATGGACAAGTTGGGGAAGGACACGGCGAGGAGAGACTCAAGGGCAACGGCAATATTGTTCTTTTTAAAAAGAACAACATAGGTGGATAGGCGTATGTCATATAACATGTACTTTACATGCATGTTAGAAATGGTTTTTGCATATAAATAGTTCATATTATTTAAAAAACTAAAGTCAACAGACTGATTTCAAATAAATTTGTGTTGAAATCAGTTTTGAAAGGTTATATTTTAGCTTCAAAAACCCACAAAAAACTAAAAGGAAAAACTCATCTGTGTCTGACATTGTCCCCAATTTGCTGAACCAAGATATGCCTTACCTGGCATGTTTTTGAAGCCTCCAAGTATGTGACTTCATCCAATAACTTCAGCAGCTCCTGAAACTGACTATCCTGGTACTCAAAGCGTTCTCCAAAGGTGATGGAGCAAATGATATTGGAAACTGCATTGTTTATCTTGAAGTGAGGGTCAAAAGGCTGTCCTGAAGGTGGAGGAAGGGCAAGATGGATCCTTCTGATGGATTTGTCTCCATTTCCTACTGAGAGTCTACTCTATATGGCATAAGACATACCTAGTACAGAACCATATATGCGGCTCTGGCCACATGACCTTACACTGCGTCTGACATACAACTAGTATTCAGTCAACTCCAGGGAAGTGAAACTGTGGACCAGGGCTTAAATTCAGTAATGTGTTTAGTGCCCATCTTTGCGTATTTACTTCTAAAACTCTTTGAGGACGGAGTCGTGGTTAAGTTGTTCACTGTTCTATCTTCCATTCCTAGCACACTGCTGGGCATAGAACAAGTACTTACTCACTTAGTAAGTATCTGTCCAATGAACAAAAGGGTCACAGTCTCTCACATTTGTTGTATGCAATGCTCACCGTTCTCCTCTTTTATTGCTTCAGTGAGGTGTTGGGCCTCCTCCTGAATGCGTTCCTCTAAGCTCTTCTTTCCTAAACCAAAGTTCCTTAGTGCTGTCAGAGTGAACCGTCTTTGCTCCTTCCATATCTGGCCACTTGACATAATCAATCCTGGGAAAAAGAAAGTCAACATTACAGTATTCTGATTCCATAATGTGAATATCCCGCAAATGATATGGGGATGTGTATCAGATGAAGGACAGGAGAAGATCATTAAGGCACTTGAAAACTGCCCAGAGAAATTATCCCAAAGCAATGGATATAATGGCTAATATTTACTGATTGCTTGCAATGTCAGGCACTTTAATATGTATTTTGTCGTGCATTACATAATTTAGTACTCATAGAAACTCTTTGGGATAGGTACAATTATTACCACTCCTCACCCACTCATTTTGCTCATGAAAAAACTGAGGAACAAGGGATAAAGGATAAAATACACTTTACAAGGTCTCACAGTAAGTAAGCAACTAAACAGGTGCTCAATTTCAGGTCTGCCTGATTCCAAATCCCATGCTTTGATTATTAGTTACATAAGTGAAGTATTTATGTTATGCTAAAGACTACGAATGCACTAATGGATAAGACAATATATATACTCTTAAAAAGGCTAAGAAAGGCTTTATAGGAGAGGTCCTATCTAACCCGGACATTAAAAGATGACGTAAGGAATCAAGAGAGCAAGGAGGAGTGAATGTTCCATGCAGAAAGAAGAGTACAAGCAAAGAAAAAAAATTTTGGTGGGCTTAACAGACCATCATTTGTTTTATAACACAGGTAATGCCACATTCCTTTCAATTTCAATTCCAGAGCACTCCTCAACACCTTTTAACATCTGACTATGGCCTTCTCACTCACTGAATTGGTCTGCCTCGTTGTCATATCCAGGGATACCTTTTGACCTCGTCTTACTTGCAGCTGCAGTAGATGCTTCTTTCTTGAAATACTGCCTTCCAGTGGTGCTCAGGATACCATTGTCTCCAGATTTTCTTCCTAATTCTCTGCCAGCAATTTCCTATGTCTTTTGCTGGTTCATATTCCATTAAATCTTGAAATGGTGGAGTTCTTCAGGAACTTCTTCATCTAAAACTTCTTTTTCTCATCCTATACTCTATTTCTGGGAAATCTTATCAACTCCTAAAATTTTAAATAACATCTATTGATAGTGACCATCTATTTCTGTCCTTGAGCTCCAGAATCTTACATACAACACTGCCTGCTTGACTTTGCTGATTTAAAGGCATTATGAATTCAGCATATCCATGACTGAACTCACAATTTTCTCTATACGACTTTTCACCCATGCCCAGCTAAACCAAATACCTTGTACTAAGTGTTCCTTTTCTCCATCATCTACCCATCTGAGTGTCACCTCAACACCTCCTTCTCCCTGCACCTATGTCATCAGGTCTTAAGAGGTGTACTTCCTGGATATCTCAAATCCAGGTCTTCCCTGCTGCTATCTTGGTGTAACCTACTGTTATTTCCCTACTGCTATTGGACCTCCCTAGTCTGAGCCACCACTGTCTGTAACCTAAAATGCTATAAAAGTCTCTTGCTCCTTTTCTTCTATTCTCTGAATAGCAGCCTAAATAAAACCTTAAAATGTACAGTGTAAATATAGTTCCCTTCTCTACTTAAAGCCATTCAAGAGCTTCCATTAATGTTAGGATAAAAACTAATATCCTTAACAGGAACTTGCACGAACTATTCCTGGCCAAGCTTAGTAGTTTCATTTCCCTTTAATTATCTCCTTTTAATCCCCATCCTTGTCATGTTGGCCACCTTTCATTTCTTCAAGTTCCCTGTCCTTTTCACTTCAGGGACTTTTCGTATTCTTTTCTGTCTGCCAGATTGTTTCACCAGTTTATTAAATGAATATTTACTTACTTTTTCTGCATCCCAGGACTGCATTAATAAGTACATCCTGCTCTCGACTTCATAACACTGTAGACTTCTAACTATTATAGTTAATTGATACTATTTTTTCTCTCTGCATAGAATATAAACTACATAGGATATGGATTTTATCTATTCTTCTCACTGTTACATCACTCATGCCTAGTACTGTGCTTCACAAGGCAGATAATACAGTGAACGGATATAGAATTAATTGAGGACCTATTTCAAAGAATTGAGAAGCATCTAAAAGTGGTGCTTTGATAGAGCAATAGATTTGAGATTGTCATTTCAATTTTTAAATGTTTCCATATATTTAATGGTAATTTTAAGTGTTCATGCCAATCTGTTCTATCATAGACCAGAAGGCTCAAGATCCTCTGTGTGGCACAACCTTAATGAAAGAGAATAAGGAAATAGAGACAGGAAGAAGCAGCAACAGAATGAGGAAGATCCACATCCATTCTCCTAAGGGGAGAGGGTTGGAAGAGGAAAACAGAGAGAATATGTTCCTCTGCTATAAATGGGTAATGTGGTTACTTCATTAGAAAAGCATCCACAGTAGGTTTGGGCAGGGCATGTGGCTTCTCCCAAATCCCAGTGAGGGATGATCTTATCAAATCTTCTGAGGGAGTGACTTCAGTCAGGAAATGTGAATACCCAGCTTCCTTTAGTGACCGGAAGTTTACTGTGGGATTGGTTTCTAGGAGTGTTGTAAAATTATAGCCACCAAGGTGCCTTTAGCAGACTATAGGACTATCAACATCAAACACTCACCTTTCGTTGGCCAAGAAACTTACCATTTTTCTTAAAGGTACGTTCTCGCATAGGGGTCATGGGGCGGTTCCCAAAGTTTTGGTCCATGTGGATAAGGGCTTCTTTGATTAAGGGCAAGCCAGTAATAAGAACTGCAGATATGTCACCAAGCTCCAAGCTAAAAAGGTTCCCATATTTCTTCACAAACTGAAAAATAGTTAAATAGTAACAGTTGAATATGCACATATCCATGTGTTCAGAGATGGCGGATGTGTGTAGCTGGAGGGGCTCATATTGAGAGAAGTGTGTGTGTGTGTGTGTGTGTGTGTGTGTGAGAGAGAGAGAGAGAGAGAGAGAGAACATTGATCTCACAGGAATAATTTTATTTCCTTTTCTCCTCCTCTCAACAAGGCTCAGATTCAATTCACTTCAGAATGTGAATGTTTCTTTATAAAATATCTATTTATGTATTCAACCAACATGAATTGAGTGAGCATCTATCATGTGTCCCTAGGGCAAAGGCATGAGGATAAAACTGTAATAAAATAAATAACTTCTGGCCATCTGGAGTGGCTCACGCCTGTAATCCCAACACTTTCGGGGGCTGAGGTAGGCAGATTGCTTGAGCCCAGGAGTTCGAGACCAGTCTGGGCAACATAGTGAGACCCTGTCTTTACAAAAAAATGAAAAATTAGCTGGGTATGGTTGTACACGCCTGTGGTCCCAGCTACTCAGGAGGCTGAGGTAGGAAGGTCACTTGAGCCTGAGAGGCTGAGCCTGCAGTGAGCCATGATCGTGCCACTGCACTCCAACCTGGGTGACAGAGTGAAAACCTGCCTCAATATATAGACGTAGTAAACAAGATTTCTAACCCCAAGCATCCTAGAGTGTAGTGAACAGAGAGAATTCAGCACATCTGCATTCTCTTCTGAACACTAATCATGTCTCAGCCACTTAAGAAGACTGAGACTTCTTAAGGCTGGACTTCTTGGTAAATCGTAACTATCTGTTTAATCAAATGAGAATGCCCCCTTCGTAGACTGGGCATAGATTATAGAAACATATGCTAGATAATAGGAGGTACATTATAGGGCAGGGGCCAGGCATGGAGGAAAGCCCTCGAGCTCTGGAGTTAGGTGACAATCTGGGGCGTACAGTTCAATCGTTTTGGGCTCTTGGAGAGGTTGCTTTATTTTTTGAGCCTCAGCTCAGCTCCCCAGCTATAAAAGGGAGAAAATTATTCCTCCCTCTTAAGGTTCTGTGAGGAAGAATGAGAGCAGCAATGTGAAAGGCACTTTGTTTTCTGGTTCCAGGCGCACAGCCACCCGGCGAGTCTCCGAGGAATGAAAGAGCTCTGTGTGCAAAGGGCCGTGGATGCATTCTTATGGTGGCAAAGGGGACAGGAACCCACTGGTGTGTGGGAAGAAGGCACTCATGGTCACAGGCAGCCATTGCTAAGCACCTTTCATATTTTATCTCATTAATCTCACAACCACCCTACAGTAGTAATAATTTTTCTCCTCTTTCAAGAGGGAAAACCTGTGTGACAAAGTTTAGTGGGAGTGACAGAGTGAAAGTAAGAATGAGTGGGAGTGAGAGAGTTGGGGTGGGAGAGAGAGAATGGGGGTGTGTATGTTCATGAATATGCACAAACATGCAAATATCTGCAAATATAGGTTGGGGACAGTGTACAGTCACGAATCAAAATCCTTCCTAATCTACCTGTTCAACAAAGGGTCCCAGCTAGACCCTGCCTTTTGTCTGCCTGGGTTGTGTCTAGCTGCAGGCAGTGGTAACAATCCAAAGGACTTCATTTCCTTTCGGTGTCTGTGGCCTCTTCTCCACAATCCAGATGCTTTTGCACTTACGCTCCACCATGTTCCTCTCAGAGTCCTGTGCCCAACAGTCCCCATCAGAGCAAATAAAATGGATTCAGTCTTATCCTACCACTTTGCTCCCACATTAAAGACCAAGCCTGAACTCAGTCCTTGTATTCTTTTGGCCCAGAGTCCTCCATCAATCTTTATCTCCTACACAGGATTTCCTGTCTTGCTAGGAAAAGCAGAGCTGAGATTCAATCTCAAGTCAGTTTGCTCCTAAAGTAAGCATCTTTGCTTCTATGAAATGGCAGTAACGGAACCACACACATTAAGCATTTTTTTTAATGTACACTTGCTGAATTCCTGGATGAACTTCTTAGGCCTGACAAGAAGGATTTCTTGACTAATTTAGAACATTAAATAAGGATGTTTTTGGTAGAGCTGAAAAATATCAGGTTAAGTTAAATGACTTCTAACTAGCAAAGTATACAGCCTAGAATCTCAGCTTGTACTTGGGAGGGATTCAGAACTCCATTACTATGTACTGAAATAAACTTCTTAAGAATTTTATCTCTACCAACTCTCTGCCATTGCATATTTCTAGTTAAACAGAACTAGATCAACAACTTGTATGATATTATCAACTGTTTAAAGATGGAGTAGGAGCCCTGGGATGAGAATGGCGATGTCTAACAATTCTTACATGCACCCTGTCAGTCATTTTATCCATTGCTTTAGAAAGATTAAATGACCCAGAGGGCTTCTGAGAAGATTTTATAAGGTAGGGCACATTTTTCAATTGTATATCATTAAATGAACCATGAATAAAAAAAAAACCTCAACAGAATAAAACAAAAGGAGATAAAAATAAGATGCTTTGAAAGGCAAAAACAGTCTTAAAATCAGAAATGAAAATAGAGAAAGAAAAGAAATGAAACAGAATCTTTAAAAGTCAAACAAACAAAAGTAATAAGGGACAGGAAATGTAATGCTAGGAATAAAAATTCCAAATGTAGCATAAGCATTTTAAAAAGTGTGGAACAAAATAAATGTTTACAGTAAAGAGGAAGAAGTAAAGGATTAGTGGGAGAAGAGATTGAACTATTGAACCATGGCTACCAAGAGATATAAAGTTGACAGAGATTCCACTTAATCTACGTTCTTAAATTTAATAACCAACAGAACAAATACATGAAAAGAGGAAAAGAAAAACAGGAAAAGAGTGTATTAAGTCACACTCCCACCAGCAGTAGGTCAGAGGGCCTGTTCCCGAGCTGTGCCTCTGTGTGTGTGTGTGTGTGTGTGTGTGTGCGCGAGACACAGTGCGAGCTGTGTGAGAGAGAGAGAGACAGAGAGAGAGAAATCCTAATAGGCACAAAAATGCATGCTGTTTCTATATTTCTCTAAGGTTTAACATCTTTCCCTCAATCTGAATGTTGTATTTTTAAAGTCATATGTTTATGTCTTTCAAACATTTCTGTATCAAGGTATTCAACTTTTTTTCTCATTGATACATGGAATTTCTAATAAAAAGTTGGAAATATAACTTTATTTTCCTTTACATGCAAATCTGGAAAGATATCCACCAAGGTCCTATAGAGGTACTGCTGAGAGTGTGTGTGTGTGTGTGTGTGTGTGTATGTGTGTGTGTGTGTGTGTATGCACATGCGCACGTGTGCACGCATTCACAGTGATGGCAGGATAGGCACAAGGACTCTCTCTTGTTAAACTGTATTTTAATATGCTGTCTCACTGTGTATGGATTGTTGCCTTTACAGTTGAAAAGCTTTTTTATCCAATAAAGAAAAAAAATAAACAAGAAAATGGGAAATAAAGCTTTAAAACAGTGGTTCTTTACTTTTCTGAGTTATAGAATCCTTTGAAAATATAATGTATATCATAGACCTGCTCTCCAGTAAACACATACACAGCTATACACATAAACAGCTTTGCATGCAGTTTCAGGAGTTACCAGTCCTCTGGGGCCCATGAACTCCTTCTAAGAATAACGGTCTCACAGGTAGTTCTTGGGGCTGTGCTGGTTTCTGAGAACAGGCTGTGGAGGTCAAATTCATGTTCAATTTAACAGGCTTTTATGAGATGCTTAAGAGTTGCCAGGCACCTTCTGGCACTGGTGTATTATAAATGGAGGTAATACAAAGATCAACATGATATGATGTTTTCCTAAAGTGTCAAAGTCTCTTGCGAGAGACTGACTGTGCAGAAAAAAATTGGAATGCACAGCAGATGACATGTGTTATTATGCTGATAGAAAGGGACATAAAGCTATCACAAGAAGAGATGACTTTCCATCACAGATATAAGAAAAATATCTTTTTAAAGAGTAGATGGTATCTGAGCCAGATCTTAAACGAAGGTCAGGATGTCACCAAAAAACAAACAAACAAACACCAACAACCCCAAAACCACAACAATAATAAAAAAACACATGGTAAGAAATCAAAGGCATTCTAGGTTGTGGGAACATCATATACAGATGTAAAGGGGAAATGCAGAAGGTGTTTGGGAGCAAGAGAGCTACCTTGTCTGACTGAAGGATAGGGTTCATTATTTAAACAGCACTGACCATGTGCCAGGTCAAGACCAGGTGCTGGGGAGTGCAACAAGTCCTTCACTTCAAGAAGCTAACAATCTAATGGAGCATATAGATAAATAATCACTTCTCATTATTATCATTCTTTACAATAAAATATTTGATGGGAGGAAGTTAAGAACCACATAAGAGGACCAGGGTTGAGGCAGGCTCCTGGGAAAAGCACCTTCTCAGTCGGTAAGGGAGATGGGAGACAAGGCTGACAAGGTAATCTGAGCTAGGCTGAGGAGAGTCTTAACATCAGGTATAATATTTTGGATCTTGTTTGGTTTTCAATCAGAATTCTAAGATGTTTAAGTAGGAGAGGTGATGCAAGGGAGTGCTTAAGAGTTTGGATTTTGAAGTTATACAAACTTGTTTGAATCCAGGTTCTGCTTCTTAGTTTCTGTGTGATTTGGGAGAAAGTTATTTCACTTTTCTCTGTCTTAGTTTCCAAGTCTATAAAATGGGGGATGTTATTAGTTCCCACGTTTAGTATTGTTGTGATAAGTACTCACGATACTAAAATTAATAATAAAATTATTATGGCTCATGCCATTTTCCCCTATTAAAAATCTTCTGTCCCTTTACTCCATTTAGCCACTTGCCAAAAATCAAAATTTTCTTTAAAATTCAGCCCAATTTCTTCCAACATTCTACAAAAAGTTATCCCCAGGGTTTCCATTTAGTGATGCAATCTCTTTATATCCCATTTGGTTGCCAAGTGTGTACACTATACATTTAGTCATATACAGCCTTGTACTTTGCCTGGCATATGATAAGCACTTAATAAA